AAAGAGGAGAACTGTGAATCCCACATTAACTATATATTAGAGTGATACTAAAAATATAAGAGTTCACACCACCTTTAACCTGTGAGGTGCTTTTTGTAGGATAAAACAATGAAGCCAATTAGTCAAAGAGAACAATACCTCACAAGAGTTGATGTAGATCGTGACGATTGATATCAAAGCAGACTTTGAATACTAACAATGTGCCATCAAAGACAGTGGACCTTTGTTGAGGTGGGGGAGATGTCATGGTCCTCGCTTGGATGTGAATCTCACATTGTTGAGATAATACTCCCAACAAGTAGAGTCACAAAATCACACATAAAAAAAAAACTTCTAGTGAGTAGTAAGAGCCACAAAATCACACATCAAAAAGAAACTTCTAGTGAGTAGAAACTTCTAGTGAGTAGTAAGGGTAGATGTCATAGTCCAGTGCCTTTGTGGGACAAAACTATAAAGCTAGTGAGCTAAAGCGAACAATACCTTACAAGAGTCGGTGTGGGCTGTAACACTCTGCCTCTAGGGTTATCTAATTTCCTTTATAAAAAAGCTATCTAATATGTAACAACTTGGTAATAAAGCTTCACTTAGAAAGCCTTACCCAAAATCAAAATAAAATAATAATGCATTTAGTATTTCGATTAAGATCACATTTTTCATTTCTATCACACTGTTTTGTCATGGTTTGCAAATTTATAGAACACTTCATCTTTAATATGCATCAAACAAATATAATGTTTGTCAATTTGACTAAAAGTAAAGTATAATTTGAGTTCAAATCTTAAATTCGAGACTAATTTTTTTGTAGAAAAAATAATATGGTAGAAAATAAAAAAATGTATGTAGAATATATATATATATATATATATATATATAACATATGAAGATTAGGTTAAAGCACAATATTTCTTATATTTTGCTAATTCATCCTTTACTCCCGATATTTAAATATGAAACTGTCAATTTTGTTACTGTAAAATAAAAAAAAATTAAGTTTTAATGTTTAAAAAAAGAAAGAAAGATGAGGTGGGCTCCATTGTCAGTTATTCACTTATGTCCTTATCCAAAACGACAACATAAAAGCAGAAAATCGCAGTCGTTCACGTGCTTTCTATGGCTCGTAATCCCATAAAAACCGCGCATTCAAAACCCGACAAAACCCCTTTACAACTCCCCAACTCACCAATTATTTCGACTGCTTACTTGGAATCGTCGACGATAACGATGATGGCAGCCAGATCTCCTTCGCTCCAACACTGGAACTTGAAAGCTTCCACATTCCGGTCAAGGACAACCAAATTGTCTCGTCCAACGGTCAGAATGCAGACGCGCATTCACCGTCTGATCGAGGATCAAGGCTTCGTGCTAATGCCTGGCTGCTACGACGCTCTATCGGCTGCCGTAGTACAGCAGTCTGGTTTCAGCGCTGGTTTCATCTCTGGTTACGCTCTCTCTGCCTCTCTCCTTGGCAAACCTGACTTTGGCTTGCTAACGTGAGAGCCTTTTATTTTTTTTCTTTCTTAAGTTCTGTTTATACTTTTTTTTTTTGGTTGTAAAATGTTAAATTTGATATTTGGTTTTGGTGTTCTTAAAGGCCACCTGAGATGGCGGCGACGGCGAGGACGGTTTGTGCTGCGGCTCAGGCGATACCGATAATTGCGGATGCTGGTATATACCGTTGCATTTCTATTTGACTTAGGCCCGGTTTATCTGTTACTTTTTTGTAGGTTAAATTCTCCAGGGCACGGAGAAAGACCGAGGCTTATCTTATGTGCTCATTGGTCATTATTTCTGTTTATAAAATGCATTTAGAAATTTCAATAGTCCTATTTGCTTGTTTTCAGACACTGGCGGTGGCAATGCTCTCAATGTTCAGAGGACCATCAAGGATTTGATTGCAGCAGGTGCTGCTGGTTGCTTTCTTGAGGTACAATACCAAAATAATCCTAATTATTAAAGATAGCTAATGCTGCAATTCTGCAAGGAGGTCAGTTTTGATTTACAATCTTGAATACCCATCTCCGTATGTGCAAATATAGATAGAGCACTTCTTTTGTTGAACTGGCTTAATGAGTTTGTCCTCTTCTCTGAAAATTCTCATTCTATTCTATATGCGTATATTACATCCCAGGAAAGCAATTATGCATCTTATGTTGCTATGATAGAAAATTTCATTGGCAGTATTTGTGAAGGACCTGTTGCTTCCCTCTAACTAATTTTGCTTTATTTTCCTTCCAGGATCAAGCATGGCCAAAGAAGTGTGGTAGGACTCTGTAC